GTGCCACTCACTGTTCAGAGGGAGTGCTGCCTTCCCCATGCCTGGATCTTCAGGATTCAGCACATCTCAATCCTGACCTGCCACCAGGCTCGTTTATTCAGTGCTGGGCTCCCCAGGTGGATCTGCCAACACAGCTCATTCCTGCTCTGCAAGACCTCTGCTATTTCGAACCGTGACCGCCTGCATCTCCCCCTGCTCCCCCAGGTTTCTCTCCTCCATCCTTCCTGCATCTGCTGTCAGCTGTACAGACCGTGTGGTGCTTCAGCCACGTGGGCAGGTGACACTTGGCTTGGGCACAAGGTCTCCCCACCTGGGATTGGCAGAGAGAGGAAATCTAGGCTGTCATGTCCAATTACATTTTTCCCTGGGTGACCTTTGTTTCCATAACACAATTTTGATTATTTGACTTTGGAATATTGATTTTCATTTCCTATTTTGATTCCATTTCGTTTCACTCTTTCCTGCAGGGAGTGACTTGGTTCACCTTCAGCATCTGCTTGCTCTGTAGCTTGAGCAAGGAAGGGTCACTTGTCCATGGAAAATGACCTGGAAGAAAAGTAAGGTTTCAAAGAGCACTTGTGTAGGGGCTGGGTTTGTTTCTGATGCTCTGAAATGGGCCCTTTCATCCCAATAAATCCCAGGAGGATGAGCTATCGATGTGAACCTCTATGTGTGGTGAGGTGAAAGGACAGCCAGATGTCTGACCACTGAGGAAGTGCTGACAGAAACACCCTGGAGTAGCAGACAGCTTGTTAGCTTGTATATATTGTTCTGGTGATTCACATGTTTATGTTTCCACTGTGAAATATAGTTCCCAGAAGAGGGAAAAGATTAAACCAGAGAAAGAACCTTTATAGCCTTTTCTCCTTCCACCCCCACCTTCCTAATAAATAGAAGTGCAATTTATTTATTTTTTTGGTTAACCCCCTTAGTCCCAGTGTCCTGGCAGGGGCATGTGCTCATGTGGCCAGGCAGTGGCTGAGGATTTGGGCTGAGATTTCTCTTGTTTGGTGTTGGCCTCTCATCCCTTCCAGATATTTGTCTGGGGAACAAAAAACAAACAAAAAAAAAGCCAAAACAAATCAAAGGTCTGTGACCGAGCAGGGAGGGGACCAACGTGTTTTAAGGTCAGGATGTTGCAATAGGACAAAGAGTAATGGTTTCAAACTGAAAGTGGGTCAATTTAGATTACATATAAAGAAGGCATTGTTTACAATGAGGGTGATGAAGCCCTGGCACAGGTTGCCCAGAAAAAAAAAAAAAGTTGTGGATGCCCCATGCCTGCAAGTGTTCAAGGCCAGGTTGGACGGGGCTCTGAGCAACCTGGTCTAGTGGGAGATGTTCCTGCTGGTTTCAGGGGGGTTGGAACGAGACCTTTAAAGGTCCCTTCTAACCCAAACCATTCTATGAGTCTATCACTCCTTGTCCCACCTCAGACAGAGTGAACCCACCTGCTGCCCGGGGCCGGAGTTCTCTCTGCTCCTGCTCCCCTTTTTGGTGCTCAGATGCTCAGTGTGTGCCTTTGGGGAGCATCCTCATAGATGCTTCCTCGGGATCACCACTGCCGGGATTTTCTCCTCGCACCGGAGGCTTTGCCTGGCTCAGGCTTGCGACGGGCGTGGGGGTGTCAGCGATGGCCCCCCCAGCCCCATGTGCCGGCATATGCTGCCCTCTAGAGTCAGCACCCAAATTCCGCTTTTTTAAAAGGAAAAGCTGGCAGAAAGCAAGTCCTGTCCATCATGTGTCAGAATAGGAGAACCAGTGAAAACTCCCTCGGGGGGAACAGCCCCACGGCCACGGGGGATGCACAGGCAGAACCCACGTCTACCCCATCTGCCCAGACCACCAGCTCTCCAAATAACAACTTGTCTCTCATTTCAGCACACGGAGCTCCAGGGTCTGTCACACAGCTGGGACCAGCCAGGTACCGTCAGCTGCTGCACCGAAAACACCTGAACACTGACCCTTCCTGAAGGAGGTGAAAATGAGGGTGAGCCCAAAATCAGTATCTCCCATCTGCCCTTTTTTGCTCATAGGAACTTTGGTGCATCCCACATCAGTATATATTTTTCCAGGTGACTGACACAGAAGCTCTCTCCCTTTCTGCATCACTCCTCTGAGCCCCTCACCCAGAGTGTGTCCCCCATGATCATGATGTCCTCTTCTCCTTCCCTGAACAATTCCTCTCCTCCCCCATGTACTGGCATCTCACTCCTAAACTTTCCACCCCCGAAGACCTGAGGGTTTACAGCCATTAAGAGGAGGTAGGAATCTTATCCTTTTGCTTCAGTGGTTTCCACTAATTTTTTTTTCAGCTCTTCCCAGGGGCAAAACTTTGCACCCCACAAGGTGGTGGCAGAGGCACACCAGGTCGCTGTGGTGTGTTTGTCACTTGGGGATCTTCTGCACATTGAGCAAGGTCTTTCAGGGAGCTCGTTGTGTCTTAACCAAATTGCCACCACCCTGACCAGTGACGTTATCATGTCCAGAAGGCATCCAGAAGGTAGTTGGCTAAATTGCACATAATCCTAGTTATTCTCTGATTCTGAAACCCACCTGGACAACTGTGCTTGGGGGTGAACGGCCATCATCTCCTGGCGTTTCTGCGGGGATAGACTCAGCATGATCCCAGCCCTGATCCCAAAAACTGGAGGAGAGCAGGAGAGCAGGGCTGGGGCGGAAGCAGCTCGGGATTCGGGAAGGGCGCTAGAGGGCAGGAGAGCTCTTCTCTAACTGCGCATCTCAATAGTCTCGTTAGTATTTCTTGCACAATTTCCCCTGTTCAGTGGGTCAGTTGTCAAGTTCAGTGACTCACTGCAGGAAATGACCCTCTGGGGCTGCAGTTTATGTCTGCCCAGCACCGGTGGGCAAGGCTGAGGCAGAATCCATCGGAGGGGTTTGCATGTAGACACCAACCACCTGGAGTGTTGCTGGCAGCTTTCCTGCCAGGGAGCTTCTCCCAGCAAAGAAACATTTGGGGAAGGAGGCTCCAGTTGTTGCCCCCACAAACACACCTGGCATTCCTCTGTGATCTCACCTGACAGCAAAGCAGGTACCCAACACATTCTTCTCTTCTTCCTGATGTAACATCTGCACCTGAAAAAACTGGCTCTTTGTAGGGTGTTTCTTGTACCTCTTGAAGGTACAAGGGTGACGATGCTGCCTTCATCCCTTTCCTCTATCCCCAGCTTCCAGCAAGAACCATCCCCACAGGACCTCAAACTGCTCTGTAACAGCCCAGAAAGCCACATCTCCCTTCACAGCTTTCCTTCTGCTCTCCTGGCCATGGCTCTGTCCATAACAGCACATTTTTCCCCAGCTGACTCCACGGGATATTTAGAAGCATCGGGTTTTCCTGGCGTTGTGAGTTACATCTTAATGCAGAAAGCACCAGAGAAACTCCAGCATCCCCCGGAAGGCAACACATCATGGGCACAACGGGGCTTTTTATATCAGAGACTGTGAAAAGACCTTCCAATTTAGTAGCTGTTCTGTTCATATCTCACATTATTGCACACACGCTCCCTCTTCCTTGCCCAAGTCTGAAAAACGGAGGGTGTAAGAATAGCAGCTTCTTACTTCATCTGTCTGCTTCCTGTGTGTACTGGCAGTCGGGTCTGCTCTCATTAGCATCACCCTCGGCAGCTCCTCCTTACTATCGCTCACTAATACGGGTGAGTCAGCACAGCTCAGCGTGGCTACAACAGCCACCATTTACATCTGTGTGAGTGAGGGAAGAGCCTGCACCTAAATCTTCTTCTGTTAGATTTATTAAGCAAATGCTCTCAGGCACTCTCCACGAGCCTCTCAGAGAAAAAAAAAAAAATTAATGAGAGAAAAATACATAGTCTGCCTCTTAGACATTTCCTCCTATAGCTTGTGCCCAACCCGGGGTGTGTGAGATGTTTAAACAGTCTGATGAAGTCACTTTAAAAGTTGTGTATAAAGCTGACAAAAATAGCAACCTCGTGAATGATTTATTTCATAAGGGAAATAAACAGCCTCTGACAGATCACCAGGCTTCAGGGATTTATTGGGCTGTAGCACAGGGTGCTACCTGCAAGTCATGGTACTGCTGTGAAATTTGTCCCTAATTAAGTTGCAGGAGTGAGTTGATTTTTAAATAGGACCATAATTCTTTTATTGTTGCCCAAGGCCACCCCTACTGGCTCTGCTGTTGTTTTCCTCTGGAGTGAACCTGCTTGTCCCCAGGGAGGTGCCACTGCTCCCTGGGCTCAAACTAAAGCAACTGTGTTAGTCAGGATGGCAAACACAGAGCTGAGGGTGTCAGGCAGCCAGGAATGGGAATGGGAGTGGGAGAACAGTGCTTGTCTGTGGGACTTCCAGGAGCTGTGCTGGGCAACCCGGGGTCACATTGGCCACAGGTGCCCTGAGTGTGGATTTGGGCTGTAGTTCTTCACAGAGGGAGTTATCAGACATTGGAACGGGCTACCCAGGGAGGTGGTGGAGTCACCATCCCTGGAGGTATTTAAGACGGGAGTGGATGTGGCATCAGTGCCATGGTCTAGTAGACAAGGTGGTGTTGGGCCAAAGGTTGGGCTCAACGATCTCAGAGGTGTTTTCCAACCTGGTTGGCTCTGTGATTCTGTGATTCTGTGTTAGGTCAAAGGTTGGGCTCGAAGGTCGCAGAGGCCTTTCCAGCCCGGTCGATTCAGTCGTTCTGTGATGCTCGGGAAGTTCCGCCCGAACATACGGAAAAAAACTTCTTCACCGCGCACACAGGGACAGGTTGCTCGGAGACGATGCGGAGCCTCCTCACCGCAGGTACCCCCAATCCCCATTCCCTGCGGGCGGCCCTGCCCGAGCCGGGAATCGGGGATTAACAATTCCGCTGCCTTCCCCGCTCAGCCATCCCCGGGATTCCGGGATTGCGGGATGCGGCCCCGCCCCTGCAGTTGCGGCGGTGCCCGCGGGGCGGCGGTGCCGGGGCGGGGCCGGGGCCGGGGCGGTGCGTGCGCGGCGGGAGCCCCGGGCCGCCCCTTCCCGTCGCGGCCCCGCCGAGCGGGCCGGGGGGGCGGGCGCTGCTCCACCGCGGCCGCCGCCGGAGCCGCTCCCGCACCGCGCCCGGCAGCAGCGGGAGCCCCCCGGCAAACAACCCCCCCGACCCTGCTCGGCCCGGCCCCCCGAGCGCCGCCGGGCCCGAGCGCCGAGCGCCGGCTCCGACATGTCCGGCAAGATCGAGAAAGCAGGTGAGGCGGACGGGGAGGCCCCCGCGGGGGGACCGGGCGGGGAGGGAGAGGGGGCCGCGCTCGCCCCGCCGAGCTGCCGGAGCCGCCGGAGCCCCGGAGGTTCGGAGCTGCCGGAGGTGCCGCGGGCCTGGCGCGGCCCGGCGGGGCTGGGGGAGCCGGGCAGGGCCCCCCATCCCCGGCAGGGCTCCCCCCCGGGGGCTCTGTCAGCGCGGGGATGGGGAGCGCGGCCCGGAACGCGGCCGGGTCCGGGGAGACGCGGGGGATGCTCAGCCCGTCCCCCCGCGGGGCTGGTCCTGCGCTGCTCGGGTCAGGCTTTGTGTCTTCTCCGCGTTTTCCTTCCACCCCCTCATTTCCCCCATTTTTCCCTGTTTTTTCCCTAATTCTTTTATTTTAATTATTGCCTTTCTGCACCCCTTCCGTCCTCCCCGTGCAGCCGAGCATCAGCGCAGCCGGGCGCTGCAGCGCTTTTGGGGCCTACATGCAGTGATTAATTTCAACTTCTCCCAACTTTCCTTCTCTGGTGTTCGTGCAGGATGAGAAAAGACGAGTCTGTAGGCAAATGTCGGAGGGGACTTGCTCATTTTTTCCCTCTTCCTTGCTAAGCTCTCCCCTCTGCTTGGGGTGCTCATGAGAGCCAGGGGAGGCTGCTGAGATTCCTCCTGCTCTCGCAAGGAAACGCTCAAGCACGGATCATATTGTCTCTCTGTGCTTCTGGAGTCGTGCCTGGTTCTCAGTTGTCACTTTAGATGGTTGAATGCCCATGTTTTTCTCCGTAGTGGGAGTAGTACGTTTAAGAAGATTCAATTAGCGTTGTGCAAATCAAGCAGCGAAGTTACGTAGTTTAATTATGTTGCATTTAATTAGCAGAGAAAAATCAATGCTGTTTTGTTATTTTTATTGTAAGGAATAGCTAGGCAGCTTCCTTCTGGGGAAGGCAGGGCAGCAGCCTGAGTGGGGATGCAGGAGCATTCAGCCTTTCCAGGACAGCAGCCACGGATGTAGGAAAGATTCCTGTTTCCAAGGAGTGGAGTCGGTAGCAGCGCGTTCTGGTTTTGATCATTCCACCCGGGTTTTCTGTGGCTCCTGTGCTGCACCGTGTGTGAGTGTGTTCTCCAGTGATGCGGGTTCTGGAGCGGCCTCGGGGGATGAGCAGCCTGGCTCCCTGGCAGCCGCCTTCTCCGTGGAGAACACAGGCGTGTTTCCAGCTCTTCGCGCTGAGTTACTGTCTAACAAGTGTGCATCGCGTCACGGGACAAATGTTACTCCAGAAATATCTCAGGTTAATCCGATGCACGATCCCTTACATTGTATCACGGTGTAGCGCTTTGCTCTGGCTGCTGGGGGATTCTGGCTGTTCCTTCCCATGCTTTTCCACACTTTCCTGCCTCCGCTCATCCCTTACTCCACTGAGTAAGGAAGGTGCTAGCAGAGCACACAGACCTGGGGCCAGCTGTGGAGTAATTGCCACTTGTTTATGCTGGAGGTGAATTTGGCTTGGGATTTAGTGACTGTAGACAGTAATTACAGACGTATAAATAAGTGATCACGTTTTGTTTATTCGTGCGCAGTAAATAACCCTGTGAGAATAGTAAATACAACTCCACACCGGCGAGGCAGCGTGGAGAGTTCAAGCACAGGAAGATGACTCTGTAGACACACACACACACAAATGCAGAGTGGTTCCATAAACAATAGAACACAAAGGCCAAAAAATACCATATAAATGTAAATACCCTATAAAATGCCATGTAATATCAATAAAATACCGTATAAAAATCATATGCTGCTCAACTCAGAGACCAGACATGCTGAGCTCCCGCTGAAAAACTCCAGGTTCATGCAGGACCCATCCCCAGGTCAGTGCTGTGAGCGTACAGCTGGAAGATGCAGGGGGTGAAGCCTCTATGTGGAGGCATTTGTTCTAGTGGGTGTCTGTTGTAGTGATGATTTGCTGAACAAGAGAAACTGTAAATCTGGGAGTCTGTCCTCTTTCAACTGCTTGTGCTTTTATTTCTTTAAAAAGGATATTAAAAAAAAAAAAAAAATTCCGGTCCAAATATAAATGGGAGGAGAAGAGGCAGGGAGGGAGGGCTGGGAGCCAGCTGTTCCAGTGCAGGAGCGTCTCCATCTCTGTTTCTGAGTGTTTGAACTCCTGATTGACACAAACAGTTTGTTAACAGCGTCACCGAACAAACACAGGCTGGAACACCACAGTAATTCTGGGATACTGTTTGTCAAAACGTGTACAGTAGCAGAACAAAGGATAGGGAGTCGTGGAACAAATGCTGCGGGGTCTAAGGTCTGTATGTTTGTGTACATTTGAATTTGTTTTTCTTATGGGAGCAGAAATTCATGCATAACACATTGTGTTGTAAATAAAATGAGCTCCTGCCTGATCACAAGCCATGGTGACAAACTTTGGAATGGGCTTGGCTTTGGTTTGACTCCTGTGTCCATCTAGACAGGCTGCTTTGAAAAATATGTTATCCCTTACAGGGTTAGACCCCCAGAGATCTTGCATCCCTCTGCTCCCTGGGTCCTTAACTGAAACACCTTGTTGGCACTCAATAAAAGACAACAATAAATGATTAGAGATAGCAGCTACCATCCTGTCCATGAAGAAAGAGCAGACAAGGCTCCCTCTGGAGCCTCTCAGTGCTGCTGTTTAATCAACAGAAGGGTCACTGTAGAGCAGTTCAGAGCTCTGCTTTGGAGTGAAGGGCAGCCATCTGTTAACGTAGAATAAGATGGTATATTTTGGTTTAACAAGTGTTAGAGCCCCTGTTTTGTTAGGCTCCATCCAGGAGGCTTCCAAATACTTTTCCAAAGCAGAACCCTCATTGGCTTGAAGAGAAGCAATGGCTGTTGGCTTTTCTGTGCTCTAGAACTGTGACTTTTTGTCTTCACTTTCAGAAAATATTTGCTCTCACCCTTTTGATGTGAAATCCAAAACAGGGATGCCAAGAAACAGCGAAGAAGGTCACAGAATCTGCTTGGGTTTCCTGTTACCATGGCAATGCATGAATTCCTGTGTTTATTTACCTGATGGATTACGTGCTCCAGGGAATTGAACTATTCTGCATCGTTCAGGGAGAATGAGGGAGCAGTTAGACAACATCAGGTCTGAACCTAAAGCTCTTGGTGAAGCAAGCCCATTCAAGAATGCCCTTTATTAAAACCAAAGAACATATGGGTGCCATACTTTGAAGGTTTATTCTACTTGGGGGTTTCAGCCTTAATCTTGTAATTTCTTACAGGGTTTTCATATCCCTTGTGAACTTGCTTTTCCAACAGCTGTCTGCTAAAGGTTGTTTGAAAGAACTGGTTTGAGTCTTTGCTACCTGGAGTGCAGGCAGTCATCTCTATTCTGCTCAGGATTCAACTGGATGTATTTATTCCCAGTAGACCAAAAATGCTGTTGGCTTCACCTTTTACTTATAAGCACTTGCCTGATAAGCAAATTCACCTCAAATTCTCATCCTTTAGTATTGGTGGGATAAACATCTAGGACTAATCCCAGGAGAACTCTGTTCTTAAGGAATATGGCAAAAATAGCAGACACAATTCAGGAGATCAGATTATTCCCATCTTTATAGGAACTTAATGCTTATCCAGAGTCCTCCAGGCCAGTTTGCATGATTCTGAATTGTGCATCTGCAAATGTTTTTGTATTAATGTGAAGTTTCCCGGGGATTTTGCTTTTGTGGAGGGTATATTTTGAACTGTCATCGTCTCTTGGATCATTTGATGGAAATTAGCCTGCACAGTTTTTACACCTGTACAGTCTTCTGCAGTTTCTCTTTGTCTGTCATGTTTAGGTGAGTTGCTAGGCAGAACTCTGTTGTGCATTCACCACCGTACCCTGTTCCTCAGAGGGAGCGAGTGCTTTCAGGTGAAAACTTTTGCAGTTAACCAGTTTAGGTGCTGCTCTACTGGTGGCTTTCAAACAAAGTTAAAAAATATTAAACTTCTTGTTGTAACCTGAGAATTAAGCCCCTCTAAAGACTCACTTCACAACCCTAAAGACAATTCAGTTCCAGTTCTTCCTTACCCGTGCTTTTAGCACCTACTGTTTCCCACTATGTGTTGCTCCCAAAGCGACATCCCGTGTGTGTTTTATTGTAACTTGTTTAAACAGCATCAACAATTCAGTCTGGTTTCGTGGAGAGCCAAAATACAGGTGCAAGAAGATCACTGCTTAGTGTGTGTTTCTACAAAATGGCACAAAGAGAATTTGGCATCTTTTGTAAGCCATCACAGGCCTGACAGGTGTTGCGTTGCTTCGGGACTGGCGTGTTCCGAAATGCAGCCTGCGGGATAACTGCTGCAGGATTGGGATGGTCAGAGCACTTGTAAGAGGGAAGTGGGCAAGGACTGGAGAGAAAAAAAAGACAGCTGAAGGCTACTGGAATGTGAAGCAGCTGGGATGTGCCTTAGTCAGTGAAAAAGCAGAAACTGGGAACAATTGCAAAATTTATTTTCAGTGCAAGCAATCGTTTTCCTTGAACTGCAGTGACTAAATATATCTCTTGGTGTGATTTTTATGTGGTGGTAACTCTTACTGGCTCTTGCTAACCTCCTGGTGAGCAGAGAGGAGTGGAAGTTCACTGTCAGTCAAGACTATAACACAAATATCCCTCATTTAGATCTGTTGATTCACTTGCAGCAAACATTTCCTATTTGTAAGGGATCCATCGTGGCTTTGCTTGCTGCAGTGTATTGCCTGAGTGGAAGAAACCAGGGGGTTTGTTTCTAGGGAAAGGAGTCAATCTGTAACTCCTTTTTAGGTTTCCTTGGGGTTTTGTTCATGTTTCTGAAAGTTTTTAATTGCAGTTGATCCTTCAGCTGATTCTAGTAACTCTACTGTGGGAGCAGATAGACTCTGATACTGTATATAAAATGATGATGTATATAAAAAAATATACATTAAGACCTTATTTCTTCCAAAGTCAAAAGCCTGTGGGTAGAACTGGCAAAATGAGCTTTGCTGTTGACTTTCA